ATCTATCTATCTATCTATCTATCTATCATCTATCAGTGGTGGGATTCAGCCAGTTCGCACCTATTCGGGAGAACAGGTCATTAATTTTCTAAGCAGTTCGGAGAACCGGTTGTTGAAAGAAATCTCCTTTTGTTTTTTTCCCCACTTTACAGGGCTAATCCTGTAAGGAAGGCAGGAAGGAAACATTCTAGTGTTGTTTCTAGCCTAATCTTGATTGCCCTGCTTACAGAAACTGCCTCTCCGCTTAACCCTTATTACATTGTAACAGCTAAGGTGAAGCGCCCATCGACATGAGTGACGTTGAGTTGGCCACACCTACATAGTCACATGACCATTGTGCCACACCTACCCAGCTGGTCATTAGGGCAGAGAACCAGTTGTTAAATTATTTGAATCCCACCACTGACTTGAATTGAGGTCACATGAGTGTGGAGATGCTGCAATGGTCACAACTATGAGGATCTCTCACAAGTCCTGCTTGTACAATGCTATTGTAACTTCAAATGGTGGACTACCCATATTGGAATAGTTCTCTAGGGTCTTGAGCAGAGAAAAGCTTTGCTAGTGATCTTCTTGTCCAGCATTGTAGCAACCTCTGTGTTCAAATGTTTGTTCAGTTCTGCCTTGATTCGGCACTTTAAGGCTTAGTTCTTCCTTGATCTTCAGGTCCTGCAACAGACGATATTCTAGTTATCTGGTAGGGTTCCTACATGACACAAATCATATAATGTGGTTTATTGGATTTGGGCTTAGCATGTTGACATGGATCCAGTCATCCCAATTTATAAGCCACTTTAGTGTTCTGAATGACTGTAGTCCAATCCCATAGTTTGTTCAGTAAATCCTAGCTAAGACAAAGACTGCTAACAAAGGGATTGGACATCCTGTAATAAAGCAAAGAAGCTAGAACTCCAACAGACGAATAAGTAAGACCTTGACAAATAATAGTTCAGGGTGTGAAAAAAATGAGCAGGAACAGGCTGGTTTTAAAGCTGAATTAAATAGCAGCGTATATACTTGTATGTACATATCATATACTTGTTCTTAATGCAGCCATTTTTTTTATCTGTAGCTCTTGGACATCTATAAAAATAATTTGGATGTTGGTCCATTCCACAATGACTCAGAGATACTAGCATTCAGGTGCGTACCTCCTGAAAATTTAGAGCAGTTTGGTCTAATGGTTATGAGTCCTCCGGGATTGNTAGTTCGCTTAATTGGTTCATGACTCTCCAAGACTCCTTGCCAAGTTCTGCAGATATTGGCCTGTCTCCAAGCCAGATAAGTTCTGTGACTGTAAATCCTCCCTTGAAAGACTTTGCTGGATGTGAATGAGCAGAATGCACAGCAAATTAATAAAAGGGTTTTTTGTCGGGACAAGGAGTTGGCTTCATGCTCTTCAGAAGCCCAGGTCAGAACAATTCTGATGTTGACCCAGTTGAATACACTTGGATGAGAGAACATCCATGGGGTACTTAGGGATTGGGACTTTGGATGTACTAAGATGCAACCTGATCACCTCTCTCTCTGTCGTACTTAGGATATGAACGGCCTTGAGGAAGGGGTGGAGTTCCTCCCCACCATGAATACCAAGAAGCTTGAGAAGCGTGGTCCAAAATGTTGGGTGGTGGTGGTCATCGTGGTATCCATCTCCGCGGTCGTTTCTCTGACGGTTGGGATGCTGGTTTGGCACTTCAAATGTAAGTTGTGTAAGGTTCAGCTTGCACTCCAAAACTAAAAATAGGTTACGAATTATAATACGTTAAGGTAGAACAACAACTAATACATTACTTAATAACCCGTGACTGATTCTACCAGCTTTACATCCACGTGGGTTTCATCACCAATAAAGTAGAAGTGCTGAGTTTCTAGTCCTGGTGAATTTATTTAGTTTACCCAGTAAACCCAGTTACAGTTGTCTTCCAGATGGGTTTCAGCTGTAATAGCCAAGAAGCAACAAGGTGAAAGGATCAAAAGATGACACTTTCCAAATAATTTAATGGGTATCTGTTTATTCCAGACATTCTGGGTTGCTAGCAGAAAGTGCCCGAGTGTTGTGGCCTGTCAGCTGCTGGCCTCTCCAGAGCTGAATCAGAGGAGGAGAAGAAGGCGTGGGAATCAGGGCAAACTGGGAGCTCCATGGGGGAAGAGGGAATGGAGCTGGCCGGGAGAGGGTGGGGAGCCTGGGCCTTCTGTCAGCCTTCAGATTAAGAGTCAACAGCCCCCAGGTCTGGAGGAAGAGGAGGAACAGCTGGGTTCAGTTCCCGATGCACAAATGCACAGAAGGCAGAGGAGAGGAGAGCAGTGGAAATCTATGGGCCGGTCCTTGGAAAGGAAGAGCCACTGCTGCTAGCGAAGCCCTACTCTAGCTTTGGGGATAAAAGGCAGTGGGCAGAGATGACTAGATGTAGCAGATAACTATTCATCTCCCAGCTGGCCGGACTTGTTGGCCTGTGGTGAGAGAAATATTTTTTGCCGGGGCTGCTGGCACTCCTAATAATGAGTTAACTTCAGAGGACTTGTCATGTTTGGGGAGTTGGGTCAGAACACCTGTCCAGTATTTTTGCTGGTTCTGATCTCTGTCCTCTCTTGGCTGTTTTTTAGACAGGGCTGCCGTGGTGAAGAAGTCATACAACGGCCACATGAAACTGATAGGCACACAGTTCATCGATGCCTACGAGGATTCCAGCTCTCCTGAATTTGCTGCATTGGCAGAGAAGGCAAAGACGATGGTAAGAATTGAAACCTGTATGAGCAACGGCAGCAACGGATTCTCTGCCTTGAATATCAAGGGCTAGATTACGGCAGCTTCCTCATCCCCTGTTGATTCCAGCTGTGTTGCAGTTATACTTCCCAGAATTCCCTAGCTGCAAGGAATTCTGGGAGTTATAAACCCAGCATATTTAAGGAAGGCTGAACTCAACAATCGTCCAGCTGATGTTTACCCAATGTTATAGGTAATCCTTACTTAATTGGGTCCTGGAACTCCATCATTAAGCGACATGGTTGTAAGATGCAACTTCATGTGACTGCCAACCTATGAAGGTAGTTCCAGAAGTCCCAGTTGCCGCCATTAAGTGAATATCGCATGCTTGCAGCATCCTACAGTCAATGTGATTTCCATTTGCGACTTCCTGCTGGCTTCCCCATTGCCTTTAGTTGGTGGAAGACGGACGTTGTCACAAATGGTGATTATGTGACAGCGGGACACTGCAATGTTATAGTTGCAAGCCAGTTTAATGAGGACCTGAATTAGTGGTGGGATTCAGCCAGTTCACACCTATCCGGGAGAACCGGTTGTTAACTTTCTAAGCAGTTGGGAGAACCGGTTGTTGGAAGAAATCTCCTTTTGTTTTTTTCCCCACTTTACAGGGCTAATCGCACAGTGGGTAGGGTGCAGTACTGCAGGCCACTTCAGCTGACTGTTATCTGCAGTTCAGCGGTTCTAATCTCACCGGCTCA